ACTTAATACTAATAATACAAATAAAACTAAGAGACTTCGAAATGTACAACATCATAGGCATACATAATATTGTCAGACCTTTGAGTTTAAATTAAATAAAAATATTATTGCTAAACAAATTTATATGATGGAAATCCTACTCTCAATTAAATTGAGTTCATTCAATGAGTTATTTTATTATTGTTTTTTTTTTTTTTTGAGTGCACAGTAAAATAAATGCTGGGTTCCACACAATTGATTTGTTTTGGGACAACATGAAGGAATAAATTTAACTTATTAGATTTTACCCATTTATGTGGATCGACAATAAACCAAAGTTGTTCCCTCAAACTCAAAAATTGTGTTGTATCCACTCAATTTAAATAAATAGTTTAAACAAACAGCAAATGTCTTTTTTTGTGTATTGGAGAGTTAGAAGTGAGGGCTGTGTTTATTTGGTCGTTTTGTAGAGAGATTCCCATAAATGGACGCTTTTTAAATTTTGTATAATGACCTTTACTGCCCTCTATTGGACAGAAACATTACGGCATCTTAAAATATTTTTCTCATTGATTTAGAGTGAGAGTAAAAAGACGACAGGTCACAGGATAATAATGTGGAAAAAAAGATGGCAAGACCTGGATGTCTCCAGTGCTATATTTAATCCAAGTCAATGTGTCTAAAAAGTTTGACATAACTGTTAAATTTCCTGTAATTTGCTAACAAATGCTAAGAATGAAGCTTTAATGGTAAGACGACAAACCATAAGGATGTAAATGAAGTGCAAAAAAAAAAAAAAAAACTATTACTAAAGTGTATGCATTATCTTTGGCAGACTTAAAATGCTAAAAATAGCATTAATAGAAAAATTAATAAATTAATTGAAAAACAAAGAATATAAATGTACATATCTATAATTATAAAACAATTCTGCAACCCTCACAAATAAACAAAAATATATACTTTGTTAAAATGAATGCATTAATTTTGACAACCATAAAATATTAAGCAGAAAAAGGGATTAAAAAAAGGAATACTTTTATCCTTTTTTCTGCTTAATATTTTAGATTATGTAAGGTAATATAAACTAAAAAAAAATACAAAGCAAATAAAACAATAACAATAATGTATTAAACTAAACTCATTAACTTTTGCAATCATACAACAGACAAACTAAATTATTATTTATTCAAATAAAACAAAAACCTAAAGAAATGCTGAAAAAATATATATAATTGTACATATCTATAATTATAAAACAACAATAATTCTGCAACCCCCACAAATAGACAAAATATATTTTGTTAAAATGAATGCATTAATTTTGACAACCATAAAATATAAGGCAGAAAAAGGAAGGGGAAAATGTATTATTTTTTATTTATTTATTTATTTATTTTTAAATCCTAATGAGTAATGTAATGAGCCAAACACAAAGCGAATAAAACTATAACAATAATGTATTAAATTAATGTATGAACTCATTAACGTCAGCAATCATACAATTGTCAAATTAAAAACGGCTTAAAAAGTAAGTTATTTATTAAAAATTCTAAAGAAACTTCAATTTAATTCACAGAAACTGAAACAAAATCTAAAAATACGAAATTATAATTATAAAACAACAATATGTCTGCAACCTCAAAAAATAAACAAAAATATATTTTGTGTTAAAATGGATGCATTAATGTTGTCAGCCATAAAATTTGAAGCAGAAAATGTAGAAAAAAAACTATTTAAAACTTTTATCATGAAAAAGGCCTTGTAATAAACCAAACACAAAGCAAATCAAACAACAATAATGTATTAAAATAAACTCATTAACTTGATATTCATTATCACTCATTAAACTGCTTAAAGTAAATTATTTATTAAAATTTTAAATCTAAAGAAAATGAAAAAAATAATAAACAGAAGAAACTGAAAAAAATATATAAAAATACATAATTATAAAACAACAATTCACCAACCCCAACAAATAAACAAAAATATATAATTTTGTTAAATTAATGCATTCATTTTGATAACCATAAAATAATATTAGCTGAAAAAGGAAAAAAAAAAAAACTTTTTTTTTGTTTATCCTGAGAAAAGTATTGTACTAAACCAAACACAGAGCAAATAAAAACAATAACAATGTATTAAAATAAACTCATTAACATTGACAATTATACAATAGTCACATTAAAATCTGGTTAAAAAAACAAAATTCTAAAAAAAAAAAAATAAATATATATATATATATATATATATATATATATATCTAATATAAATCATAAAAACAAAAAAACAACTTTTTAAGTACGAATTATAGCTAAATGTTTACTCCACCTGATGAGTCTGTGGCAACCAGTTCTGAACTAAAATAATACTATTACTACAACAATAATAACACACCTCTAACTCAACAAACCACATGATTTAAGGTTTCATTCATGTCTGCAGCACAAAGTAGAAGAGCCAGTCTGGAAAAAAGTCACATGCACCACACCTTCATTTCTTAAGGGAAAACCTACTTCACTAAAATGCTCAGCAGAGTAAGTTATTAGCCTGTTAACCACTTCAAAAAGCAACAGCGTGTTAGACAGCATTTTAGAGTTGTTAACATAACACACAACAGCATTTAAACATAGAGCCACGTGCTGCTAAAGTGTTGTCAAAAGTATTGATATTTCGGTATGAATCGATACTGAAGTATTTGAAGCATATAAATGTTTTGTGGTCCAAGTGATGGGCAAAATATATGTTAGATAATGTTAAAATAACGCAAATCACCATTAGAATGACCTAAAGAATGTTAAGCGTTACTTTCATCTGTATTTTTGTTCTGATGCACTTATTATTATTGGTTGTAATTTAGCTTATTGGTTTATTACTGATTCTTCACTTGTCTTCAGAAATGTTTATCATTTATATAAAATAGGCTAATAGTTGTTTTTTTTCTGTAATACAAAAATTGGAATTAAGATTCATTTAGTAAGCATGCCAAGGTTACGTGGCATAAATTGTTATACAGTTTAAAACTACAAAAGCATTATTTTACTCTTATATTATTATTGTTTTTATCTGAACCGGAAGTGAAAAAGAAAACTTTTCCTCAAAATAGGCTCATTTTACAAGTCATCTATATTTGAACATTCTCCGACGGGTATGATGGGAGTAGTTTTAGCTTAGCTTAGCATAAATTATTGAATCGGATTAGACCATTAGCATCTTGCTCAAGGATATGTCAAAAAATACTGTTGATTCTTTTGCTTTTCAATCATTAATTTTCCTTTGGCTTAGTCACCACAGAGGAATGAACCGCCAACTATTGCATCATATGTTTAACATAGCGGATGCCCTTCCAGCTGCAACCCAGTACTGGAAAAATACCCATACATACACTCACACACTACGGCCAATTTAGTTTATCCACTGGGTTTCTGCAGGTTTCACAGAGCTAAATTTAGGACTTTCGGACATTTTTGAGACCATTATGAATGAAATTTTAGACCCATAAAGGACTAAAGGTTTTTTTTTTTTTTTTTTTTTTTTTTTAAGGCCCAGTTGGAAAAGATTTTTATTTGCCCTATCAAAAAAAAAAAAAAAAACACACACATATATATATATATATATATATATATATATATATATATATATATATATATATATATATATATATATATATATATATATATATATATATATATATATATAATTTAATACATTTAATAATACAATAATATATTAATAATAAATATAAAAATATTTTTTATTTTATTTCTTAGCTAAATATTTTAAATATTGTGTAAAAACAAAGCAAGCTCTACTTTCATACACTTATCCTTACACTTTTTTTCCCCAAAAAGCTTTCTTTAAAATAATTAACAAAATGGACAAATGTTTTAAAAGTTCTAAAAACTATAATAAACTCAATGTATACACAAGAATCTGTCCAGGGCGGTGTCCTCAGCAGTAAATACATGGAGAACGTTTAAACAAATGTTACTTTAAAGAAAATACTTCAACCATTATGATTAAAAAAAAAAGTTAAAAAATTAACTTTTTAATTAAAAAGTTTAAAGTTTTATTGAGATGGTTGTTGGTGATTGTATGGGTTTTGGCCAGATTTGGTAGCAATACAAGAACAAAGGAAAATTAAAACCTGTTTAAAAAAAATTAAGACTAACAACACAGTATTTCAGTAAATGTAAGACTTTTTAAGGCCTAAAATTTGAATTTTGAGATTTAAGACATTTTAAGACCCTGCAGAAACCGTGATTTAATTAGACTTTAGTACATGTCTTTGGACAGTAGGGGATATCGGAGCACCTAGAGAAAACTCACATAAACACTGAGAGATCATGCAAACTCCACATAGAAATGCCAACTGGCCCAGCCAGAACTCGAACCAGTAACTTTCTTGCAATAGTGCTAACCACTGAGCCACCGTGCCACCCTTAATTTTCTTTTTTAAGACTTGAAGGTTCAAGTAATCTATGTTGAGATGTTTGAGTGAGATGCTTATGATCTAATCCGATTCAATGATTTATGCCAAGCTAAGCTAAAAGTGCTTCGCCAGACGTGAAGATCGACTGAATGGATTCAAAAATGACAACTTTTTAGCAGTTGACTCATAAAATGATTTCAACTTATGAACTTATTTCAGCTTATTTCCAAAAAAAATGGGGTGTTTCTTTAACACTAACCTGTGATTTTAGATTTTTAACAATGGTTAATAAAGAAATGCATAAATATTATCACTTTAAACAATGATGTGTTCATATTCCACAGTGGGATCGCATTAGTATCACGTTTCAATACTTCTGAGGGTATCATATTAAATTTAGTATTTACTCCAGTATTGTGACAATACATATTGTGACTAATCCAAACTAAGTTAAAAATGTGTTAAGGCGACAACACATTCAGGGTGTGTTTACTAAGAAAGTTCATCTAATATGTCAAACGGATGCTTGAGCAGATAAAGACAGAAGCAGCTCGTCAGGCCAAGCCCAAGCGCTGATGGGAAATATTACCTCCTTAATCTCTGCCTTAAGTTTCTGCTGTCTCTGCTGTTTGACCTCCTCAGGGGATCGTCCCACCAAGCTGTCCCATGCTAAACTCAGCACCTTAGAATCCTTTAACGGACACATGAGCAATCGAGACATCAGCACAAGCAAGTGTGGACCAACATCATAGCAGTTGCGCAGTTTTTTTTTGTTAGTTTTTTTGTCACTTTACACTTGTAAGGTTTACACTTTACACTTGAGCAAACAGAAGCAATTTTCAAACGCTCTCACCTACTGTAGATGCCATTTTGCTGAATCATTGTATTGTGTACATGGTCTGCTTAAAAATAATTTATATTGTGTGCTGCTTTAATAGCAGAATGATTCATAATTTAAATTCAAATACTGTGTGTTCTTTACTGAAAAATGCAAGTTGGTTGAAACAGATTTGTTTAAATTTCCACTATTTCTCTTTTATTCAGAAGCCGTGTGCACCCACTGACAGGTTAAATCTGCTTCTCTCTCACTTTCAAGTTCAAAAGCAAACTTGAATGTGCCAAACCGTTTTAGATATGTATTTAAAATAGCCTAAGTAGTATATTAGCATCATCAAATTAATAATATACAGCAAATTTGAAATAAATGGCAGAAAAAAAAAACAAAAAAAAAAAACAGACAATATCTCTAAAAATGATCATAATTACCAGCTTTGAAAAAGGAAAGCAAAAGTTAAATCCCGGACATTTTAGGAGATTTAGAAACCCAGGTCGGAAACATTTTTTACGTCCTAAAAGGCGCATCTTTGTGGGTCTGCAGAGCATGCGAGACAGCATGTGAGAATGTTGACAGATCTCGTGCACACACAACAAAACGGGTAAACTAGAGAAGATTTTCCAGTAGTTAATCCATCGCAGATGTTTGGTTATATTGGGTGGATACAAAAAAATTTAAAGGATGTTAATAACAGCTAAAAAAAAGTGTCACTAAATATAACTGTGACCGTTAATATACCTGGGCAGCCCGCCCAAGTGAAGTCCTTATGTGGGAAGCACTGTGTTGAAGCCAGAATTATTAGCCCCCTTATTTATTTTCCCTAATTTCTGTTTAACGAAGAGATTTGTTTAACAAATATCTAAACATAATAGTTTTAATAACTAACTTCTAATAACTGATTTATTTTATCTTTGCCATGATGACAGTAAATAATATTTGACTAGATATTTTTCAAGACACTTCTATACATTCTATATACATTTAAAGGCTTATCTAGGTTAATTAGGTTAACTAGGTAGGTTAGGGTAATCAGGCAAGTTTTTGTATAACGATGGTTTGTTCTGTAGACAATCAAAAAAAATATATAGCTTAAAGGGGCTAATAATATTGTCGTTAAAATGGGTTTGAAAATTAAAAACTGCTTTTATTCTAGCCGAAATAAAACAAAAGAATTTCTCCAGAAGAGAAAATATTTCCAGACCTATTGTGAAAATTTCCTTGCTCTGTTACACATCATTTAGGAAATATTTAAAAAAGAACAAATAATTCAAAGGGGGTAAAAATTCTGACTTAAACTGTATATAAGAAGATATTATTATTAGTGTAAACTAAGTGTAGTATAGCAGAATAACTAGTTAAAATCTTAGCAGCTTAAAGACGACTCTCATATGGAGAATAAAGTCACATGCATTGCTCAGGTGTGATTTTGTTCACAGACTTTAACAGAGTGTAAAAATCTTGCCGGTTCTGTGGGTTTCGTCTGTAAAATCTTAATTTGATCTTAATTTGTATTTTCTATTGAATTCAAGTAAGGTGAATGGCTGAGCCATTCCACAGCTTGATTTTCTTTCTCTGAGAGTTTCCTTGGATGTGTTTTGGATCATTGTCTTGCTGAAATGTCAACTCTGGTTTCATCCTGCTAATGTAGATGTTGGGCTGAAACAGATAATATTTACACTGACGAAGGGCAGAGGGTTGCTAAAAAACTAAGGAATTTCAGCTGCTGCCTGGGCTTTCACTGCCTTTCTACACATCCCTTTCATTATGTGTTCAATACTTTTTTCCTGTGTCATTTTATTTTTTGACACATTACTTGATTTGTAAACTTATTAGATTTGTTTTCTTTTCAATGCATTCCTTTGGCTGTTACAAACATCTGGTGACAATTCACAGTTAAGACCTTTACAGTTTAAAGATTTTAAAATGACCATTTTGCTATTTGTCCATTTTCTTTAAAGAGCTTTATTCAAATCTATCATATCTTATCAACCGTTTCTTCTATACGCTTTGAGTAAATGAATGCGGAGCAGAAAGTTTTTTGGTTTGAAACCATCGAGGACACCTTTCCATTTCGGAAACGGCCTTTTGTAGTAAGCAGCAGAAGTCATCAGGGACTGCGCTCAATCAAAGAGCGTAATTAAATTGAAGAGTCAAGATGCCATTAAGCTTCTCCGAACACCAGCAGTACTTTGTCCAGCGATGCCCTTTCAGAGCCTCCAAACATCCTGTCACTGATATTTGGTGGAACTGACATAAACAAACCTAAGAATCCAAGGATGGCAATATTAACTCAGCCAATACGAGTAATATTTAAAAGCTTCCCACTTCAAGAGAAGCTGGGATTTAAGGGACATCTACAGCGATCCGCTGATATTCATATAATCTCTCCAAATTCCTTTTACAGCTTAAAAAGGAGGGCTGTCTAATGAAATCCGGGACGACGACTAGAGCTGGCTTTTATTAAAAATAATCTCCATGAATTTTCAGGATGGATTTATGTGGCAAATGGAAAGAGTCAATAATAGACCTACCGCTTCTCTGTCGGCCTTCTTGGTGGCGAGAGCTTCGGTTTTGGCTTCGAAATCCGCCTGGATGTTGTCTCGCCTCCTTATTACTGCCTGAAAAGCCATGATCAATACTCATGAAGTATGAAAATCACAATCGATATATTTTAATGAAATTTCAGGCTGGATGAAATATGTAATAAGCCTGAGAAAAACATAATGACGGCTGTATTGATTTGCGTCAGAGTTTATGTCAGGTGAAGTACAGAATCATATTTTTTCAATGTCGCATTAATTTAAACATGGTTTTTATTGTAGGTAAACGAGCAGGTCATTTGCCTAAGACTAATTCAAACAGAACATAATATTTCTATACTATATTTTTATATTTCTCTTTCTATATTATATTTGTGTATTTTTTCTACTTATACTATATTTCTATTTATTTAGATCAATTGTTGGTTAATTTTATAATTCTATTTTTCATATTTTGTAAAAGCTGTTTTCATATACCTAGAATTACAAAAGCCTGAAAATACCATTCAAAAGTTTGAGTCCGATAAGACTTTTTAAAGCATCACCATATCTGCATTTATTTGACTGATAGTCCAGTTTAAACAGTGCAATAATGCAATTTTAAAATAAATTTTCTATTTTAATTTCTCTTGAAATTAAATTTATTTCTGCTCGTCTTTATTGATGTATATCCACAATTGTTTAAAAGTTTCGGTCAGGAAAGTTTTTTTTTTCCTTAAGTTTTTGAACGAGTCTCTCTCACCAAACTGAATTTATTTGAAGTTAAAATTTTGTGCAATAATATTACAATTTAAATAAATATTTTCCATCTTATTAAATAAAAAATACATTTAAATGCATTATTATTATTATTATTATTATTATTTTGGAGTAAAACTTAAACCACACTGAACTTAACTGAACTTTAACTCTGAAATCTGGACTTTACTAGAAATATGTTAAGCTGCTTTGATACAATCTACATTGTAAAAAGCACTATATAAACTTAAACTGAAATAAATTTATTATTATTATTATTGTTGTTGTTGTTGTTGTTGTTGTTATTATATGTATCCCTGTGATTCTGAACTTTCTGCATCATTCCAGTCTTTAGTGTCAGACAATCTTTCAGAAATTATTAAAATATTATTATATATTTAGTCAAATAACTAAATTTCTATAACTCCAATTTTGTCCAATAATATTACAACATGTATAATATAAAATGTTCCATTTTAATAATTAAAAAACACATTTAAATGCATAATAATAATAATAATAATAATAATAATAATAATAATAATAATAATAATAATAATAATTATTATTATTATTATTATTATTATTATTATTATTGTTTTCCTGTGATTTTGAACTTTCTGTATTATTCCAGTCAACAGCAACATGATTCTTCAGAAATTATTAGATGATTATTATATACAACACAAATAACTAAATTAATTAGAATAATAACTCAAATTGTGTGCAATAATAGTATAATTTTAAATAATTTCTATTTTAATATTTTAAAAAATAAATTTAAATGGATTATTATTATTATTATTATTATTACTACTACTACTACATATATCCATAATTCTGAACTTTCTGTATTATTTTAGTGTACTGTAAATGTAATAATTAAATGAACTTCTTGTTTGGTCTGATACCCACTTTATATCATATCTTAGCCAGGCAGTGAAGATAGCTGCCATTTAAAGAATCAGATCTTAAACAAGGCGATTTTGTATGCATTTAAAAAGTCTGTGTGCACAAACCCAATTGTGTGCAATAATATCATAATACAAAACACCACTTTCGCCAAAAATGAACTGATGGCATTAAGTATATGCTATAGGCACGTAGTACACCATCAATAAATAGGTTTGCTTCTAATCAACCTTCACAAATAACAGTTAAAAGCCGCTAAACGCCTTTTGCCTTTGACAGTAAAAGCCGATATATCCAAAGAACCAATCAGAAGGCACAAATCGAATCGTGTTCAATGTAGCAGCGCGTAAAATAATTTCTAATTGCATCTTAAGTAATTTTTAACTAACTACACTGTCTTGTCCCAATAGGTGGATTTAGAGATTTTTGCAAAAAACAAAAACAAAAAAAACAAGTAGATTTGACTGGTTTTGACGCAAAAGAAAACCTACCTTGTTAAAAACAAAAAAAACGTCTAAAGGGACAGTTTTAAAAAAAGTTATTTTATTTACTAGCTAATGACATTTTCTTTATCTATTAAATGAAACTTAAATCTATTAAAAGAAACTCAGAGGAGCCTAATAGAAAATGCTCATTTACAAGAAAAGAGGTCTGATAGATTTAGAGTTTTGCATATGAACTCTTTATTTATTTATATATATATATATATATATATATATATATATATATACTATTATTATAAGTATTATTATGTGTATGCCTGCGATTCTGAACTTTGTGTCATTCCAATTTTCATTGTCACACGATCCTTTAGAAATTATTAAAATGTGTTAAACTGGAGCTCAAATTAATATTTGATATTTATTACAAATGTTAAACAGCACTGCTTAATATTGTTGTGGAACTGTGGGTGTTTAAACCTAAAGAACTTTCTCACTTAGATTCAAAATGCCCTCTGGTAAAAAACAAAAAAAGTAAAAAAAAATAGATGATAAAAACATTTTGTAACATTACCAATTGTCTTTAATGCCACCATTGTTGCCACTTTACTGCCAATTTAAAATAACCATTTATTTTTAGGCTGAATGTTGAGTTTGAGAGAGAATGCAGGAGTGTGTTTTGAGCTGGTTTACCTTGAGCGTCTCTGTGCAGAGCACGTACTCATGAAGAGCTGGACTGAGCTGATCGTTCAGCTGTTTGACCTGCTCGTCTGTCTCCTTATAGCATCTGTCCAGACAGTCGGCCATGTTCTTCAGGGGTTCAGCCAGTTCCTGCTCGGAGTTTGACCACAGTGTGTACGTCGGCCCGCACTCCTTCAGCTCCTCCAGGTACTCTGACATCACAATACAACAACAACAATTCAGTGAAACTACTGTTATAAAAGCTGCAGAGCTATGTACAAATACTTCTATCTTAAAGTGTCAGTCAATTAAAGGAGCAAATGTATTTTTGCATAAAAAAAATCAATGGTAATAAGAAATGCATAAAAATTATGAAAAAAAACAATGTGTAGATAAATAAAATGCATAAAAGTAAAATGTGAATTAATTACAGAACTTATAAATAAAATAAGTGCACAAAAAACAAAAATATAAAAACAAGTCTACTAAATTAAAAATATGTAAATAAATTAATAAAATGTACAAATTAAAACGTGAGGCATGCAGCACGCATAAGCAGCGTGCAAAACAAAACCCACGCACTTGTAATTGCATCGTTAATTTACTAATTCTAAACCAAACCTTCTCAGAAGCAGCATTTTATAAACTCCCTCGCGGGCCGGATGAAAGTGTTCAAAAATCCATGGTGTAGAGCCTCTTTTTGCGGCAATACAGTAACAATTCATCTTAGGAATTGCAAATAGAAGTCCTGCACAGTGGAAATGTCATGATATTGCAGTCCAAACCATCACTGATCCACCCCATGCTTCACTCTGGGTATGCAACAGTCTGGGTAATATGCTTCCAGGGGCTTCTTCACACCGTAACTCTCCCAGAGTAGGAAAAGACAGTGAATATGGACTCTGGACTCTGAGTGTGAACCTACATTAGTCTCACGGTTCGGTTACGATTCTCATATCATTCGTTTGGTTCAGTTCGATATCTCGGTGCATCGATGATGCTGTTCTTCTCTGAGTGATGTGGACATATGAAAAATAGTAACAGTCTGTATGCGTGTAACAAAGTGCACAATGTGCAGCTATCGCAGCTGATCCGTGATGGTGTCTGCAGAGTGAGTTTTCTCCATGGCGTCCAATCATGTCAGGATCCGCAAATATTGCTTTAATAGCAATGAAAACTTACCTTACAAACAAGCTAGCAGTTCAAAGGTCCCAAGTAAGAAAGAGACAGAGAGGCAGAAAGAGAGAAAGCTTTCATTTTCCCCCTAGCAATGAAACGTCAGTATCCATTAATGAACTGATACTGAATTGTCCACATCTGCATCACAATGCAACGAAAAAACAAATAATATTGACACCCCTAGTGGACTCATCAGAGAACAATACATGTTTCATGTTGTCCGTAGCTCAAGATTTTGAACTCTGTCACCCTTAATGTTGTGTGCATTGCAATATTTTAAGCAAAACTGTGCTATTACTCTACTAATTAATTTTATGGTAAGCCAAAAAACCTCAAACACTAAATATTATATACAGCTAAAGTCAGAATTATTAGCCTCGTTTATTTTTTTCCCTAATTTTTGTTTAATGGAGAGAAGATCTCTTCAACACATTTCTAATCATGATAGTTTTAATAAGTCATTACTAATAACTGATTTATTTTATCTTCAACATGATGACAGTAAATAATATTTGACTAGATTTTTTCAGGGCACTTCTATACAGCTTAAAGTGACATTTAAAGGCTTAACTAGGTAAATCAGGTTAACTAGTCAGGTTTAAGTAATTAGGCAAGTTAGGCAAACGATGGTTTGTTCTGTAGATTATCGAAAAAATATATAGCTTAGAGGGGCTAATAATATTGTCCTTAAAATGGGTTTTAAAAAAATCAAAAACTGCTTTTATTCTAGCCAAAATAAAACAAAAGAATTTCTCCAGAAGAAAAAAATATTATGACACATACTGTGAAAATTTCCCTGCTCTGATAAATTTCATTTAATCTAAAGGGGGGCTAATAATTCTGACTTCAACTATATATATATATATATATATATATATATATATATATATATATATATATATATATATAAAACAATGCATGAATAAACAAATTGCAAACTAAAAACAAGTGAATAAACAGGATGAACAGATATGAGATGAAGCAATAAAAGCACCTCTCTGCTCTCTGATGATCCTCTGAGTGACTTTATCGAGTGAGTTGATCTTCTGGCTGAAGGCCTCCACATACTCCTGCATATCATTAAACTCCTCCGGCCGGTTCCTGACACCTCGAACAGAAGCAGCAACGGCCTTCACCGTCTCGCCCATCCGGCTCAGAAACCCCGGACCCTGCTTCTTATGAGAGATCAGCTCCTGTACAAACCAACAGACGAGGGGAAAATCATTTCCAATAATAAGGTTTTACTCAGTAAAAGCCTCTAATGGTTGAAAAAGCATGCTGATGAATTATTAATGAATAATTATGGCCAGTAATAACAGCAGCAGTGTAAATAGCTGATAAAATAGTACAGTATGTCATATTAGCCTATGAAGCGCCAAATAACCATAACAGCAAAAACTGCCTTTATTATGAGTATTTATAAAGCACTTATCTTAGAGGTCACTCACACGGGTCTAAACACTGAAATATTATCTGCATGCATTTGAATATAATCCTCTTGTAAAGCTAACTGAGATCACACATAGTGACACACAGAAGGTCAGAGACTATCATAGAAACACTGCGAGTGAGTGCATGTGTGTGTGTGTGTTATGAGTACAGACGAGTTAAATACACTTATTAGAAGGAAAACAACGGCAAAAGCAAAACAAAAAACTGAATGAATAATTAAACTAATAGATAAAGATAATAAATGTGAATAACAGGGAATAAATAAACAATTTAAGGAAATAAACATCTAAATGGGCGTCACAGTGGCACAGTGAGAAGCACGATTGTCTTACAGCCAGAAGGTCACTGATTCGAGCCTCGGCTGGGTCAGTTGGCATTTCTGTTTGGAGTTTGCATGTTCTCCCCGTGTTGGCGTGGGTTTCCTCCAGGTGCTCTAGTTTCCCCCATAGTCCAAAGACATGCGCTATAGGTCAATTGAATAAGCTAAATTGGCCGTTGTGTATGTGTGGGAATGCAAGTGTGTTTCTCAGTGTTGGGTTGCGGCCGGCAGGGCAAAAATGAATAAATAAATAAATTAATAAATAAATTTGAATACATGCATAAATATATGCAAATGAATGAATAAACAGAATAAATTACAAAATAAATAGTTCATAAATAAATGGGTAGGAATGAATTACGGAACAGGAATAAAATGAATGAAGAATTCTTGAATAAATGATTAAGTAAACGATAAACAACACACAATAAATAATAACATTCAAAAATTTAATTAGGGCGAGGCAGTGGCGCAGTAGGTAGTGCTGTCGCCTCACAGCAAGAAGGTCACTGGGCCGAACCTCGGCTCAGTTGGCGTTTCTGTGTGGAGTTTGCATGTTCTCCCTGCCTTCGCGTGGGTTTCCTCCGGGTGCTCCGGTTTCCCCCACAGTCCAAAGACATGCGGTACAGGTGAATTGGGTAGGCTAAATTGTCCGTAGTGTATGACTGTGTGTGTGAATGTGTGTATGGATGTTTCCCAGAGATGGGTTGCGGCTGGAAGGGCATCCGCTGCGTAAAAACTTGCTGGATAAGTTGGCGGTTATTCCGCTGTGGCGACCCCGGATTAATAAAGGGACAAAGCCGACAAGAAAATGAATGAATGAATGAAAAATTCAATTAATTTAATCCTCGTTGTAGCTGACGTTAATCGGTCAGCTTGTATTTTGTTTACGTTTGTTCTTCTTCCTATTTCGTTATTTGAATGTGTATTTGTGTATGATTATTTTATGAATTTCCTTGTTTCCGGTTGGGATGTTTTAGTTAGAGGTCGCATGATCCTCCCTGATTAATTCAACCTGATAGTCAGCATGGGTGAATATCAATGCAGACACATGTTAAATGCTAGGGATTAATCTACTGCTGCAGGGCTCAAAATTAACTTTTTTGCTTGGTAGCACCGGTGCTCCTAACTTTTAAAAATGTAGGCGCACCAGCCAAAATTTAGACGCATCCACCAAAAACTTTGAGCACCGTTACTACAAGTTTTATATTAACCGATTTATTGCATTTGAAATCAAAACTAACAAACAAAAACAAATCTGCATGCGTCGACCGGCCCTGAACGCACTACTTGACGTAAATGAGATGAAATAAGTTAGCGATAATAACTTTACTGCTCTCACGTGTGGTGTCTGACATTGCACAGATGATATTGACACATATAACTTATCGTTTGCATACGTCATCTTATTAGTAATAACAGTCTTTTCATGAGCTGCAATATTTGTTTAATCTCAGTGAATGCATGCTCTTTTGCAACGGTGAACGCATGACTGACAGCATCGTGACGATTAAATGAAGGATTAACGTTAATGTTAAAACATCTCGTAGCTTAAAATGTGTAGATGTGGCAAACACTAAAACCTGCAAACTCCATCACACCGGCTTTACGGTGAATGTTTTAGTCATTTTCATAGCAGACATTAACCCACTGGAAGTCTTTTATCCATTCTTCGAAAAGTGTAAATGGTGAATTGTTCATCACATGATAACAAGTTACAATAATGGCACATCTTATTAGTGGTTTCTAAAAAAAATCTGAAAATGTTATTTTCATTCTCTATTATCAAGACCTTTACATTTTCGCGGCTGTAGCTCTCTATCATCTAAACTGAGTGATTAACAGCTGGCATTAACCGATCCGTTCGCATACTGTTCTATAGCAGTGGGCCAATAGGAAAAGCTTGAAAGCGGGGCAAGCATTGAGGGATTGGTTTACTGCAGCAAATAGACATGTCAACTTTTAAACCATTCCTGAACACTGCGTTTGCCTTTTTTTGGTGCAAAAATGCATTCTGCATGCATTTCTTCTAAACACACGCATGTGGTCAACATTTAGCAGTGAAAACAGGTCGCACAGCAACAATTTTATGAGGTTGCATAGATCAAATTTCAGGTGCATATATAACAAAACGGTCACAATTTCGAGCTCTGTGCTGGTTTTCAGGCTAACACAGTAAAGAAATTATTGCTTGTATATTCTTTTGTTTATGTGTTGTCCTTTGATTATGTTGTGTGTGAAACTGACTGATTGGTTTGTTTGCCTTCAGTTTTAACTGTGTTTATAATAAATAAAAATATAGACATCAGTATCTTAGAAGCGTTGACTGTTTTAATGACCAGTGAGTAGTTACTAGTTGACGGTTGGATGGGCGGATGGATAGATGAATAGATATACATAGACTGATAGATGGATGGACGGATAGACAGACAGGTGGACGGATGGATGGATAGATGAATGGACGGAGAGATGGATAGATATAAACAGATGGATAGACTGACAGACAGACGGACAGACAGATAGAGGGACAGACAGACGGATGGATGGATGGACGGAGAGATGGATAGATAAATAGTTATAGATAGACGAATAGACAGAGACGGATGGATGGATAGATAGATAGATGGACGGAGAGACGGATAGATATAGAAAGATGGATAGACGGACAGATAGACGGACAGACAGATAGAGGGACAGATGGATGGATGGATGGATGGATGGATGGATAGATGAATAGTTATAGATAGACGAATAGACAGAGACGGATGGATAGACGGAGAGACGGATAGACGAATAGCCAGACAAAGACAGACAGACAGATGGATGGATGGACGGAGACACGGATAGATAGATAGATAGATAGATAGATAGATAGATAGATAGATAGATAGATAGATAGATAGATAGATAGATAGATAGATAGATAGATAGATAGATAGATAAATAGTTATAGATAGACGAATAGACAGAGACGGATGGATGGATAGATAGATAGATAGATGGACGGAGAGACGGATAGATATAGAAAGATGGATAGACGGACAGATAGACGGACAGACAGATAGAGGGACAGACAGACGGATGGATGGATGGATGGATGGAGAGATGGATAGATGAATAGTTATAGATAGACAAATAGACAGAGACGGATGGATAGACGGAGAGACGGATAGACGAATAGCCAGACAAAGACAGACAGACAGATGGATGGATGGACGGAGACACGGATAGATAGATAGATAGATGGATGGATGGATGGATGGATGGATGGATGGATGGATGGATGGATGGATGGATGGATGGATGGATGGATGGATGGATGGATAGACTGATAGATAGACAGATAGACAGACGGGTGGGCGGATGGACGGAGGGAGAGATGAATGGATAAAAAGAAAAAACAAAAGCCTTACCTCAGATGCAGCTGTGAGAAAGATCTTAAAGTCTTCAGTGCTGGAGAAAATGGGATGTTCTGCTATTCTGTTAAGAAACCTGTGCAGAGCCCTTCTTCTGGTCTCTATGAAATCTTCATTAAACCTCTCCACCATTCCCTTCATCACAAACTTCTCTGGCAGAGGCTGATGGGACACAATCACACGTTAGGGTTTTAAATGCGCAAGTAAAAGCACTACTCATCATCCTCCAGGAACATGGTTGACAACCACTGCTCTAATGTAAGCAGAAAATGGACGTTTTTAAAATATCAGTACCGATTTGTACTGAACCTGATACTTTTGACAACACTAAATTGTACACATGACAGAAATCAAAATTTTTGATTTATTACTAATAAACAGTTCACTAAGTGTTAAGTAAATATCAAAGGGTCTGATAAAGATAATCTACACAACATGAGGAAAAAACCTTAAATATAACACAGAACGGGATAACTAAATTTTTGTGGTTTTAAGACCATGACTTTTCCAAACCGTGGTAAAACTTGAAACCAGTTATCGTCCTATTCCTAAATTTAACCTGGTCATCACAAACTGAAATTTCAGAGAAAAGTTTACATTTAAACACTCCCATACACTTGAATTCTAACTTATATTTAACTCACATGAACAATGAGCGTAGGATGAGCTTCTTCCAGGCGTCCCTTTAACCACAGGAAGTCCTGGTATCGTCTTCGCACCTCAAACTCACTAGAGTCAAACTCGCTCCGTGTGGTCTGTCATGAAGGAGAACGATGGAAAAAGGCGAGAGAATTATTCACAGAAGTCGCTCCTGGTGAATCTGTGTTCAGATCTGCTGTACCTTGGTCATGACCCGGTAGGTGATGTATGTCTCAATGGCAGTCACGTGACTCTCAGGGTTATCGACTGTGACGAAAATATCTTTGGTGCCAACATCTTCCTCTTCTTCCTCAAACTTGTACTGGTTGATCATTGAAGCTGGTGAGGTCTGCATGGAGGCGTTGAAAGAGCTCCCGTCTGTGATAGTCGTATCCTACCCAAAAGCACAAGACATGTACGTAAGCAAACATGAAGGATCATGAACACTAAACAGGGCCAGTGTTTTGACATCAAACAAACAGTTTTTTTTTTTTTTGCAGCCAAATGGACATGATATGGCTTACAGGAAAATATGTTTACAGTAATAGATGAGGAGCAGAAATTTAATAATAATAATAATAATATATAAAATAACACTGCATAGTGTAGATTCTTGCATAAATAATTAAATACAAGTAATTTTGGTTTATCTATCATCATAACATTAAGTTAACAAAAGTTCAGCAGCGGAACCACACCTCAATTTGTCTTCTTAACCAATCACCTACTCCCTAAAACTTATTTAAGGCAGACCAGCCCTCTAGCACTGCTCTCAAACTCTCTCTCTCTCTCTCTCTCTCTCTCTCTCTCCATTTCCTTAATTCCCATTCACAATCCTTATAACCCTCTCTTCCATCCTAGGTTGAATCCCCCCCAATTCCACTAATTACACGACCAGAATATTACAGAGATGGTACCCCTAAACTGAGTCTCTGGGAATCATCGTAGATCTCCCGTTCAACCTACCTACCAGTTCACTGTTTATTCTCTTACCATCCCTTTCATCCATACAATAAAGTCTAGCTCAAAGTGTGGCGACGTCCATGCTTGTGAAATCTTGCTTAAACCTTATAGTAAGAGGTCTTAAAAATATATCAATATATATTTTAGGGATTTAGGGTTATACTTTGGAATGACCCGCAAAAAAAAATTACATTTTGTGGTGCTGATCAACTATAATCCATATAATCCAAACTTGACATTGCTAATCATCAGGTGTGACTATTGCAGTTTCATACATTATTTCAATGCTGAAATGATATATTTTGCAGCCCTGGGATATATCATATACTTATTCAGTACTATGGTTTAACATTTATCACAGTATTTTTTTAAAATGCCATCATGCTATATTGATTAATTAATTAAATCATATAATAAATCCTAGAAATCCATGTTTTAACCAAAATATTACAGCCTCATCTTTAATTTTCACTACAAAAATATATTCTATCAAGGCTTGTGCTTTCCTAATAAAATAAAAATAATATTAAATAATGCGTAGCAGTGGTGGAAAGAGTACAGAAAAAAATCAGCACCATTACTTGTCTAAAAATGTAGTGCGAGTATCTGTTGTAAATATTACTCAAAGCATGAGTAAAAATCAGCCCTTTTAAAAGTACTCAAGAGTGAGTAATACGTTGTAAAAAGCTGATACATTTACATGTAATTTGTAAATGTGTGTAAACAAACAGAACATTCTGTAGTGCATTTAGCTACTGCCCAGCAGGCACACAAAGTCATTAGACGTTAATATTATTTTGATGTCCAACAACGACGTGAAATGACTGTATTATTTGGTTAATTTTAGGTTTTGTTAGAAAGTGACCAAAATCCAACGTCAACCCAACATCTTAAATACTTGTCATATCGATGTCAAATACAGGCATTTATTCATCAGGTATGGCAACCAAAATCCACCGTCTGATAGACATAATAGTGGTAACATTCACACAATGTCAGGCTGTAACATCATTAGGCGTTGATCTTAATTTGGACGTTGGACATTGGACATTGACGTCAACAGATTTTCATTTCCAAACAAAATGCAACGTCCCCACGATGTTAGGGTATAACGTCGATCTTACGTCATGTTGACGCCTTGTGCTTGCTGGGTGTTTAAGGCCATTTCAATCATGATACTGTAAACATCCGTCCTCTTTTCATCAGTGACATGCATCTAAACAGTCTCTGGGTCAATGCGTGTAAAGATTTTGGACATATTCTTTTGGATACTTTTAATGCTTCCAAACAGTTTGCTGCAATTATAAATCACCCCTGTCTTGAGGTAGTTAATTATGATACGATTTACCTTCTATTATTTTTCTAATCCCCATATACTGTAAAAAAAAATCAACTTACAGATTGTTAACTCAGTTTAAAATTGTAAGTTAGATAGACATATTTTTGAGCTTAGAGTTTAATTTACTCAAAAACGATTTAACTGCATGTTTGTATGGAAGCATATGAGTAGCATAATTCAATTCAAAATGTAATATGCAAAATGGCAATGCAATATGTTAAATGGCAATGTATTTCTGTATTTGAATTAGCATTTTCCAAGACATATGAGCAATGTTTGGTGCAGAATGAAAATGTAAATTAAATTACATTGTTTGCATTTCTCATTTCAAACACTGTTTTAACATGTAAATTGTATCCACATTTTAAAGCTTTATAAGTAGCAAAATTAAATTGAAAATGCTATACACAAACTGAATTTGATGTGAATAAAGTACAAGCAGAAACTGTAGCAAAATGATAATTTAAATGTTATTTGTCCTAAATGCATTTACACTCGCGTCTAGGAAACGCAGGATTACATTTTCAGCATAACAGCATGGGATGTGTGTAGCAAAATTAATTTTGAAATGTAATATGCAAAACGATAATGCAATATGTAAAAGGCAGTGTATTTCTGTATTTCAGTTAGCATTTTCCAAGACATATGTGCAATGTTTGCTGCACAATGAAAATGAAAAAAACATAATGCATTTTCATTTAACACATCGCGACGAATGAAAGCCGATTTGAAATTGAAAATGCATTCTGGCCTGGCCACGCCCACAGACGGCCACCGTTGCTGCCAGGCGGGTTTTAGGTTATGTCGTCACAGCTGCCGCGAGGACTATTTGGGACATTTGGCAGCATAAACATGGCGAAGTCTGTTCCTCAGCGGCTTCGTGAAGCTGCACGAGCCCTCGAGCTTGAACTGGGAAATACTTTAGAAAACCAATCACCTCCTAGCTCAGTAAACTTGGCTTAAGGTTTGATATTCGCGCACGCAGTTTTAGGGATCATCTGCAAATTACATCGACAGAACCTAAAGGGGCTTTAGCTGATGTGTACTGTATGCTTGTGACAAGAGCTATTGCCTATTTCTGCATTGTATGTACCATATAGTTAGAGGTATAGTAGCTTTGCTACCTGTATTAAATCAGTCTGGCCTCCAACCATTTATTGGAATCTCCTCAATTTTTGTCTGCTTTGAGTTACTGTGCGTTTTGGTTCTGTTGATGTAATTTGCAGATGATCCCTAAAACTGCGTGCGCGAATATCAAACCTTAAGCCAAGTTTACTGAGCTAGGAGGTGATTGGTTTTCTAAAGTATTTCCCAGTTCAAGCTCGAGGGCTCGTGCAGCTTCACGAAGCCGCTGAGGAACAGACTTCGCCATGTTTATGCTGCCAAATGTCCCAAATAGTCCTCGCGGCAGCTGTGACGACATAACCTAAAACCCGCCTGGCAGCAACGGTGGCCGTCTGTGGGCGTGGCCAGGCCAGAATGCATTTTCAATTTCAAATCGGCTTTCATTCGTCGCGATGTGTTAAATGAAAATGCATTATGTTTTTTTCATTTTCATTCTGCAGCAAACATTGCACATATGTCTTGGAAAATGCTAACTGAAATACAGAAATACACTGCCTTTTACATATTGCATTATCGTTTTGCATATTACATTTCAAAATTAATTTTGCTACACACATCCCATGCTGTTATGCTGAAAATGTAATCCTGCGTTTCCTAGACGCGAGTGTAAATGCATTTAGGACAAATAACATTTAAATTATCATTTTGCTACAGTTTCTGCTTGTACTTTATTCACATCAAATTAAGTTTGTGTATAGCATTTTCAATTTAATTTTGCTACTTATAAAGCTTTAAAATGTGGATACAATTTACATGTTAAAACAGTGTTTGAAATGAGAAATGCAAACAATGTAATTTAATTTACATTTTCATTCTGCACCAAACATTGCTCATATGTCTTAGAAAATGCTAATTCAAATACAGAAATACATTGCCATTTAACATATTGCATTGCCATTTTGCATATTACATTTTGAATTGAATTATGCTACTCATATGCTTCCATATGTTTGGAACTGTTTGTTCAATGAAAGTAAAAAAAAAATCATTTGAGAAGACATTGAATTTTATATTCTTCATTTGAGCTTTTACCACTGTAAAAAATAAAGAGCTGAGTTAACTTAAAATTTTACAGCAACTGGCTACAAAGAATTTTTTTTAAGCTTAAGTGGTTGAAGTTGTGCCAAATTATTTTAAAAAGTATGCTTGACTTAAAACAATCGTTTCAGTCAACTTAAAAAAAAAATTGAATTGGCACAACTTTAACCACTGAAGCTTAAACTCAAAATTTCTTTGCAGCCGGTTGCTTTACAATTTTAAGTTAACTTAGCTTTATATTTTTTTTATAGTGTATATAGACAGGAAAAAAATAAGTAGTGACTGCAGGTGGAAGTAGTGGAGTAAAAGTACCAACATTACATTAAAAATACACTCAAGAGAAAGTAAAAGTCCACATTTTTAAAACTACTTGGTAAATTACAATTTCTGAGAAAAACTACTCAATTACAGTAGTTTGGGTTTTTGTAATTTGTTACTTTACACCACAGATGCATAGACATTTTTTATAATGTTCCAACTTTCCACACATTGTAATTATCTTAAACTCACCATAATAAATGGTTCTCTAATTGTTGCTAAACCACCAAACACCTACGTGATGTCATTTCAAGAGTACATCATTATACCATACATATCATTTCCTTAAACTTGCTTTGCAAGCTGTCGTATTTTGATCACAGTAAAAAAACAGATTTTCATAGTGTTTGGCTATCTTTTCCTTGGCCAAACACACACGCATGCAAATCCCTCTCGTTCAGCCACAGCTGCTGGGAAAGAAGCCTGTGCGTCTGTTTCCTGTCATAACAAACCGGTCCATAGTCAGCAGAAACGCCACTGCTGCTTTACCCTACAAACATCCCACTTTCATTCATAACAACCATTGCTAATGTGAACTACTACACTAGCTGTGCACAGCACTTTGGATACATTGTATTGTGCTTAAATGTAATAAATAAATAAATAAATAAATAAATAAATAAATAAATAAATAAATAAAAAATGTTGTTGTGGTAGCTGTAAAAAACTTGAATGCTCATCAAGTCTAACATGCCTGAAAGTTTGAAATCGTTTACCGCTTTTGGTTAAGCGATCTGAATTGTTGTTAGGGTGTTTTAACATTATGCATTGGTATAGCATTTTTGATGCTTGCTCTGTGTTATTACAGTATTCTGCCTAGCTGTTATGGTGATTTAATGATTACTAAGCATTAATCAGTTGTTTTTCTAGGGTGTTTGCTACGCTTTTCTTAGGGTGCACTATCTACTTAGCTTTGCTAGCTGCCCTAACTACTTGCTCTATTTATCAAGCGTAGCTAGGGTGCTCTTTCTAGGTGTTAGGGTGTTTATATTATTGATAGGGTGTTCTAAGTGTTGCTAGAGTGTTCTGTCTAGTTTCTAAGGTGTTAACTGTTGTTAGGTGTAAATAGGATTTGACTACTTTCTTGGAATTGCTAGCTATTAGCTCACCAAAAAAATTAACACACTGTCATCATTTACCTACCTCAAGTGGTTCCAAACACGTTTGAGTTTATTTATTCTGTTGAGCGCAAATGAGGTTTTTACTTTGAACAATGTTGGAAACTTTTAGCAAATGGCATCTGTAGTAGGTTACCAAAACTCTAACACATTTTTTTGTATTCAACTTAATTTTTACTTAGTTTTTCTTTCTTTCTTTTGTGGGGTAAACTAACTATTGCCAAGCAGTTGATGTTCTAACTTCTTGTTGGGTGTTGCCAGGGTGTTTTAAGTGTTGCTAAGCATTGATATAACATTCTGACCACTTGCTATGTGTCCTGCATGCTTGCTAGCATCTCTGGGTGACTGTCAAAGTAGGCATTTATAAGGTCTTCAGCCAATTTGTTAATAGGGTGTACTTCCAAGTTTGCAGAATTCAGGTAAAGTTTAAAAATAAAATCACATTCTTAATTTTAACGGTCCCTATATTGTTTACCATGCTAATTTGAATATTGGCTCTGAAATTTAAGTATGGCTTCAAAACATTATTCACACATTTATTCAGTGACAACTTCTGACACACTCCCTATATTGTTTACAATGGTACTTTGAATATTCGGTCTAAAATCACCGTATAGTACGACTTGAAAACAACATAAACACTGTTTATTTGACTGTGAACAATGCTGTACTTTGATAGTCATTGTTGCTAATATGATTTCGCTATTTAGAGCCTGCAAATAATATTTTTATTAAATTATATTATTAAGGGGAAAATCCGAATGTGCGAATATAAATCCGATTTTACCTCTGTGACCCCACTTTGGGAACCACTGAACTGTACTAGTTACTAGACATTGAATGACTCACTACGTTACTAGACAGATAAGATCAGTGTCAGTGAAACAAACACAGCTGTATCTGTACTTAATTAGATGAGGTTTATTTATTTAAAATGGCATCAAATGGCGTTTAAAGCAGTGAGGTCAACCAGAAACCAACAGTAAAAACTACGCTGGAGTTTTTTAAGGGAAAAAAACATGGCTTGACAGCGCCTGATCGCTGACCTTTGAAACTTCATATCTCAGCAAAACACACTGATTCAGTGAGAAAACGACAGAGAGGTTTGATTAGTCACGTATAAAGTAGAATCAAAAGATATAAACTCTAGTTATGTGTCTGCGATCAATCTCTGTTTTAACCAGTTGATGTTTGATTACCTTACTGAAAACTTCCAAGTCATCGTCTTCATCTAGATCTAACATTTGCCCGCTCATGTCAGCAGGGATCGCGACCGAAGCATTGCCCGATGACACGGTGTTGTCGACGGCTGGTACACTCATCGCTGCTCTTATCGCTACTTTGCTACAAGTTTTCTGGACTTCATCAGTTTTTTTTTCCGCACAACTCTCAAAAAGCTCAGCTGAGGCGGAGCGGGCTCCACTGCGCAGAATCGGAAACCGCGGAACAGGGAAAGAGCCGAGAGTTGAGGCGTGTGTGGACGCCCACGTGAAGGAGTGTGTGTTTACGGTATTTGCCTCAATATTTTGATGGTTGGTTTTTGTCCAGCAGCTTGTGCCTTTAAATGTTATACGAATTTGAGCCGTGAAATAATAGCGATGAAAATAGAAAAAATGTTTTTAAGTTTATATGTCATCTGTTTACATAATTTAAAGTGCACTTTGGATAGTTATTATTATAGTATTAATGTTATGATGGTTGGTTTTTGGCCAACAGCTCGTGCCTTTGACTATTAAACGAATAAGAACCGTGAAATAACAGCAATGCAAATAAGAAAATGTTTATACGTGTAAAGGTTTATATTTACATAATTAAAAATGGACTTTGGGTAGGAAACTATATTATGATGGTTGCAGGGGCGGAGTCAGTGATTTGGGGGCCCTAAGCAATTCCAGCTATGGGGCCCAAAAGTTTGTACTTTAATTTATTCTTAATTGATTTATTTTGCTTTTTTCTTATGTCACTCAATCTCCTTTTCTATATTTTGTCTTAATGCAAAAATAAAAATAAAAAATGCGTGTATAGAATCTAAATGATTTGTCTTTTTTAAGTTTATTCACAACTAAAATAAATATAATTTTTTATAGTTTCAATTACAAATAAATTTTAAATATATATAAAAAAAATTATTACGTTTTTAAACTAAACCCTTACCTAATTTGACTGCTGGACTGCTCCATGATTGAGGGTGGGGGGAAACATTTGCGCAGAAGTAATAAAAATTAAGCTTTTATTTTTTTAGACCGTCGCTATAAAAAATATGATTGTAAACGATGTTAAAAATAATTTATAGATACAATTTACACTTCTAGGTATTTATTTAGGGGCCCTCAGATTTCCTGGGGCCCTAAGCATCCGCTTACCTTGCTAATTGGTTAAATCCACCCCTGGACGGTTGGTACAGTGTTAATGTTATGATAGCTGAAAACTGTTCCTGTTTTTAAATGCTATTTGAACCATGAAATAGGGAAACTATTTATTTTGAAGGTTTATTAAGTTTATTTACATAATTTAAAGTGCACTTTGAGTATGAAACTGTATCATGATCAGTTTTAGGATTCCAGTTTGTGTTATAATCTGTGTGCAAACAAACATTTACTGATTTTAGTTGTGGTCATGTAGGCATATATCTGTTTTTACAGTAAATGGTATTTGTTCATGGTTTTTATGTGTGAAGTAATGATTTAATTAAAATGACTATGAACAGGGTGTCCGCTGGATCTTAATGTCTTAAATTTCCAAAACAAAATTCATAAAAATGTTGTGCTGTAGGACCTACAGCACAACATTTTTATGAATTTTGTAGGACTTAAATAATGTTAAACAGGTCTTAATCTTTACTATGTCTGAGTAAAGTTACTCAGTTAGGGTGACATCCATCCAATGACCTACAATACATCCTAATAAAACCTTGTTTTTTTATATTTAAGTTTTTTATTGCAAAGAGACACAATTTACAACAGCTATTAGACATTTTTACAGCAAATTCTCCATTAAATTCTCTAACCAGGGAAGGAAAACTAAAAACAATTACACGATTCCTGATCATAATACAAGGCCATTAGAAAAAAAAAATCCTTAGTGTTTAACCTTGTATAAGTCTAAAATTGAATTCTTAATGGTCTTAAAGTCTAAAAAGGTCTTAAATTGACTTGATGAAATCTGCAGAAACCCTGAATGAAAGTGCTACTATATTTTCATAGTTTTAGAGGGTCACTTGATAACCCAAGGTTAGTAAAATATAAGTACGCCCATCCAATGACCAACAATACATCTCATTAAAACCTTACTTTTTAAATTTAAGTTTTTTATTGCAAAGAGATATAATTCATAACAGCTATTAGACATTTTTACAGCAAATTCTCCATTAAATTTCCTAATCAGGGAAGGAACACTAAAAACAATTACACGATTCCTGATGATAATACAGGGCCATTAGAAAAAAAAATCCTTAGTTTTTAACCCTGTATAAGTCTAAAATGAATTCTTAATAGTTTTAAATGGGTCTAAAAAAGTTTTAAATTTGTCTTGATGAAATCTGCTCAAACCCTGTATGAAAGTGCTACTATTTTATCATGGTTTTAGAGGGTCACTTAATAACCCAAGGTTACTAAAATATGAGTAAACTAACATTTAGTTGATTTTAGATGTGTTCATGTATCTTTCTTTGTTTTTATTTTAATTTTTTTTATAATTGTAATTTCATGCATAGCCTACTTATGCCTATGTTGGTTTTGTTATGAACAATTATTATTTTGTTTTTGAACAATTTATATATTGAATTTATATTGGATGAACAGTAGCCTATTAAACATTTAACACAATATAAAAATAAACTTTATTTTTACGATAAAATATACAATAATTAACCATAATATATATAATAGAAAAAAATATTTTAACACTTTTTTTTTAAATAGTTTACTTTTAAATATGAAACGTTTTAACATTAAAATAAGAATTCTGGCACTTTTTTATTTTGGTAACAAGAACCAGTACAGTTTTCTTATACAATAAAATCCCTTAACATTTCTTAACAAGAATAAGGAAGAAGAGAAGAGAAAAATAACAGAGACGGTACATAATTATCAAATTACATACAAATATATTACGCACATTTTCCAATTTTAGATATTAACTAGAGATATTATGCACTTTTACTACAAAAAAATGCATATCTACAAACATGTTTATGTAAAAATGTTAAAGGAGGAGCATATATGGATTTTTTTAATTGCTTTTCTATTTTTAGACTTGGAAATCACTTTTATATACATTTGAATCTCTTTTTCCAGGACCATGAAGAGAGGTTTGCTTTTGGCAAACTTGGATTTATGTATGTGAAATTTACATAATAATAAAATAAAGTTTATAATAAAACCAGCATCTTTTAAAAAACGATCCTTAATATAATAACCCAAAATCCTCTGTTTATAAGATAAGGAAAATTATTTTAAAATATTACGAGAAATAAAAGCTTAATCCAAAAAAGTTGAGTATATTGGCAAGACCAAAATAAATGTGAAAAAGTTTCATTAAAGCGTTCACAAAAACAGCATTTTAACTCTATCAGTTTAAAATTTTTGAAGATATAATTTTATGGGATAAACTCTGAAGTCATTTAAATTATATTTCTTTAGCCTTATTTATAAGAATACTGGCACTTGTAGAATTGGCACTGACTTCCTCCTTAGTCCTTTTACCACCAGCAGATGCCACTGTTGCTCAATTTAAAAGCCTTCATAATTAAGACTTCATCTGACAGTGGCAATTACAAACCTATATAGCTATGCAAACACTCTGGCATGTTTTTTTTTTTTTTTTCTGGCAGTGTGAGACTGTATTATAGGACAAAATCGGGCATATCTAATAAGAGACTTATTAGGAAATATCTAATTAGGGACATGCCAGTCAGCCTATATTGAATTTAACTACTTATCATGCGACCGCTCTCGTCATTAATATAAAATATTCTGTCACCGAATTCCTCATTAGCTGGCAGTTATTTCATTTATTTAATCAAATAAAAACTGTCCCCTTGGATATAATGAATGCAGGACTTGATCACATTTGGACTTCATCCATAATATCATCACAAATAATAATGCTTTACGCTGCCAAATTGAGTTTATTAGTGAAAACGGTTCTAGATATTGCTTTTTTTATAATATTTTACATATCTTTATTTATTAGATTACCTTAATATGAAACTAAATCAAGATCACTTCCTCCATCAAGATAAAATAATGCAGCTTTTTCAAAAACAGACACTGTTATATAGAAGAAATGGTGCTTATATTGCATTATAAAGGGCAGCATGAAGCAGGCAGCTGTAATGCTAAGCACAGAAAAGGTCAGCTCCACCCCGATCACATTAGCGTTCTGTCGTTTTATATCATTTGCTTTCGTAACTGATTTAAAGCTCAAGCTGGGAGCCTTTTTTTTTCTCGTTTTGATGTGTGACGATCAAAGCCTTTCATAACTGTGTCACCGTATCAGGCTGTGTGATGTATGAGCTCCTGTGAAACAATCTTTATTTAGGCACTGCAGTGAGCATATTCAATGCCAGCTATTAATTAAAACTGGTTTTAATGTAAATGATAAATAGCCTGCTGGAAAGTCATTTGTAAGGCAGGGGGATTGGGGATGTGTTACGTAATGGGATTCGGATGTTTGATATATGCTCATTAGATCAGATTCAGCGCAGACCACACCCATACTCACTGGTCCTGCTTGGAGATTAGTGGATAATGCAATATATGAACTGAAATCATAACAGAAATGTTGTTGTTTTTAAATATACATTAACTGGGCTGAAAACAAAAATCCAAGAACTATATATTTTAGCTAGCTGTGGAAACGTATCTCTATTATTTGATTTTGTTTAAATTGATATACTAAAGTAACTACTGCAGAAACAAAAACATGCAACAAAATGGCTGAAAATAGCATGTTCTACTGAAAACAGAAATTCTGAAAACTGCCTGAATTAATACGTTTATTGAAAATGAAAATAGAATAGAATAGAAGAACAGTTGAAATGTAGCGCGGATTGCATTATAAAGAGATGTTAACTTTATATAAAACGTTTTCAAATACATTTTATTTTAGTTTGATCTTGACAACATTTCTAATGTTATTAGTTTAGATTGATGCAATAAAAAATGAACACAAACTAAATGTTTTTTAAGCAAATTATACAAATTAAAATGTAAAAAATAAAAACTTAAAAAATAGTTGTTGTTTTTTGCTTTGTATCCCTTATACTGGGAAAATATGTTGAATATAGAATAAAATATATATAGAATATAGAAAAAAGAGAAAATTACAGGGGAAAAAATACTTCTACATGCACAGAAGTACTCATATAGACACAAATACACAGATGTTATATATATATATATATATATATATATATATATATATATATATATGTATATATATATATATATATATAT